AACAGTATTATTACCGCATACCCTCTGGGTTTTCTCTGCCGCAGACGGTAGCGAATACCGCTTAGGTCTGAATAGGCCTTTAAGGTCTGATTCTGAAACGATGCGATACTCAAAACTGGACGTGATTAAAATGCTGAGTTTCACCACCTAACTTTGACCAACTATAACGTTAACCGGTGTTTTTTGTATGAAGTTTGACAGTAAAAGTAAGATGGTGCAACCCAGCCTTACTGTTCAATATGTAGAGCAATTACAAATTGAATGTATGCTACGAAACGACATAAGCATGAATGTACGTACGAATTGAGAACCTACCCTTTTTTAAGTCGGCTAAAACAGATTTAAGCATTGGTTAGTTAGATTATTTATATTGAGCAATACACCTGACCACGACCTCCATTGATGGTATTACGTCTAAAAGCAATTCGTTTTCTCAGTAAATTACAATTTATTCGCGATTTATGGGAGTTCTGGAAGATAAATGCTGGTAGAGAATGGAATATTTACATATTAATTAATCAATATTACAGTTTTTACTTGATTTTAGCAATTCTGCGGACTACTATGTCAGTGACTTTGGTTCTCTTGCGGACCTCCTCATTTCTGATTCGATCACGCAGGGAAACTCCGAGCATAGCACGCTCCATCGCCCTTTGGGTGACCTTAAGCCTTCTTATGAGGCCCATAGTAGTTAGGACCCGATTCTGTGAAAATATTCATTAAACTAAACTTTTTTTAACTAATTAATTCCTGTGTCTGAAATAAACGAAAAAGCAGTCAATTGAATTTACAACTATGTGTTGTGCTTTTTAAATTAAATAATATAACACAAAACTCATTTTAAAAATAAAAATCAGACGATTAACATAAATAAGTTTATTATTCTTTTAAAGTAAAAGGGTAAGTCGTTAACCTTATTTAGTTTATTGAAGACTAAAAATGAATCACCATTTTCAAAGTTAGTTTCTAAGGTGGTTTACCACCGAATCGGGTTTTTCCTAAAAGGGTCCTTCGCAAACATTCCCGGGTTCGGTTACCGATCGGGACGATGTAAAACAAATATCAAATGTCCACTAATGGCGCTAACGAGATACAGAAGGGTAAATCAATAACATCAATAATGTCAATAATTGTGTAATAATAATTTTAAAGATGAACTTTTCCATAAGATTTACCAGTAGCCATATTATTAATCTATTAATGAAAAAACCTACTGAACTGATTTTGACAAAACTTAACTACTTATTTGTTTAACATCAGAAGAAAATTCACATGAAAATGACGAATGAAAATGAACATTATTTGTATGGAGGCTAGCATACTCACATGTCATCCATTTTTATTTTTTTCTTAAAGTTTCCAAGATTGAAAGCGGTAGTGGATTTATTATGTCACCTAATAGTAAAAAAAGCTTATGAAGAATATTTGCACTGACCCTTAACACGACCGATATCATAAAATAGCAGGAAGGCGCTGGACGCAGGCCGCTACCAACCGGGCAACATGGAAAGCATTGGGGAGGCCTATGTTCAGCAGTGGACGTCCTATGGCTGAGATGATGATGATGATGATGACCCTTAAAACTTCAGATTCTTTTATAATGTGAGCCCTTTTTCAGGGCACTTATACACGTCCAAAATACAGGGTGTTAGGTAAATGGGTATATGAGCTGACACTAACCCATGTTAACATGGGCATATAAATGGTATGGTGAAGTCAGAAAATTGATATCTTCATTTTAATTATTTTAATTTTCATACAAATCGGATTTTATAAAATTTATTTGGTATGAAAATTAAAAAAATTAAAATGATGATATCAAATTTCTGACTTCACCATACCATTTATATGCCCATGTTGACATGGGCTAGTGTCGGCTCATATAACCATTTACCTAACACCCTGTATAGCTTGCTCTTCCGCCACTTCTGGACAACATATCGGCTGGCGCTGAGAAGAAGTGGCGGAAGTAACTCACGGCCGTATTCTCAAAAGATGCTTGCTTATGTGAAGCAGAAAATCGAACGCACAGAATTGAATAGAGATCTGTGATTGGTACATGGTGTCACCCTGAGCGTCCACACGCACTGTGAGATCTCATAGTAATGTTTGTGAANATTGTGAATACGGGCGTCAGACTAGAAAAAACGGCTCTGTGTATTTATAACTCTCTGTATAACGTTACGAAAAGCCTATCAAGTCACCAATAATAGCGTCCCAGCAGAAACGTATCAAAAAATAAAATCAACGCGCCCTTCAATACATTTAATAACGTCTTCGGTCGTGAAAGAACTTTTCCTCGTAAGCTGTATTTTGTTAAGCTATCATTTTCCCATTAGGCTATACGGGTCAGTGGTGGCCACTATTATATTCTATACTTGGGTGGAAAAATCCGCTACCACTATTACAAAAAAGTTAAGTAAGTAGATAGGTACATACGTAAATTATTTATGGGTGAAAGTCTGAATGGATGTAACTTTACTGATTTTAGAAAAAGCTACTGGACGGATTATGTTTTATCTTCAAAACTTAAGTATATCAGCACATTGATGTAACTAGCTTTTGTCCGCGGCTACACCCACGCGTGAAAGAGTAACAAACATCCAGACATCCAAACTTTCGTATTTATAATATTAGTAGGATTAATCAAGCTATTTGTTATATTACATTCTACTAGGAAGAAGTCGCGGAAAATTCAGCCATAAGTAGGTAAAACGTATTCTTGAACCTTTTTTACACACTTGCGAGGGGAAATTTTCTTGTAAGCTGTATTTTGTTAAACAGGCTATCATCTCCCCATTAGGCTTTACGGGTCAGTAGTGGCCACTATTATACGCGTATTCTGTACTCGGAAAATCTAGTACCAGTACATAAAAGAATGTACCTAGTGCTAATATTTTAAAGGCGAAACCTTGATGTTTGCTATTTTACATGAAAACGGGTCTGGATGGATTTTGAAACTTTCCAAGTTTATTGTTTATACATCAGAATAGCACATGCCACATATATATAATAAATAATAAATAAATATCTTTGGACAATCTCACACAGCGCCATCTAGCCCCAAAGTAAGCAATTAATATGCTTGTGTTATGGGTGCTAGCTTAACGGATATACTACTTATATACTTTATTTTTTAAATACATACATATTATACATAGTAACACCCAGACCCGTCACAGAAATTAAAATTCATCATTTCAATTTCTGCCCGGCCGGGAATTGAACCCGGGACCTCTCGGCATAGTAGTCCGTTCTGAACCACTACACCAAACGGCCGACAATTAATATATAATTAGTTAAACACCTTTTTACTATATTCTACGAGAACGAAGCCGCGATAAAAATCTAGTAATAAATATTTAGAACAAAGCAACACATACTAAGATATAACTGACAACGGATGTAAGCTATTGTTTTATTCTACATAGTATAAAGCAGAGTTACTCGGTCTGTCTGCTACACTAAGATCTTTTAAAGGTTTTTTTAATGTGGTTTTCATACTCCTACTTCTCATTAAACGCAGAATTTTTTTTTAAAAGGTAGATTTAGATGTAAACACTGAAGTTGTTGGTTTAAAATTTTGTTGTAAATGAGTGCCATAATAATACAAAATCCTTTTGGACTGAACTGTTTTACATGCTGTAGACCCACTGAACTTTTATCAACACACAACTGTATAAAAATGCGTTACAATAGTAACGTCCGGGGTCCGGGAAAACTCAATAAGTCCGCACGTAGCTCGCCGGCCGGAACTTACGGAGATATTGCACGCGGCGCCTACACGGGACATTTGGGGACACGATGGTAGGATATTATTTTGTTTCGTGAAATTCAAAACGGAAAGGGATAAGCGTCAAGTTATCAATGCTTTATACGAGTACATAAACTTTGGCCTCTCATATCTCTTTCTTTTTTAAAAAAAAATATTAGAAAGAAAGAAAGAAAGATACATTTATTACAATGGACATCACACAATCATTAGTAATTTGTTATTGCACAAATTACTAATACTCGTACTCTCGTTAGCCCCTCGTACTAAGCTAAATATGCCTGTATCACGAGTGAGCTCACCACAATAGTCGGGACCCGTTCCCCGGATCACGAGTCGGCCAGTCCGACCCCTTCACCGTTCGGCTATTGCATCTCATCTCTTTGTTCGGCCATACAGAAGAAGAAACGGCCATGCATGTTCTCTGCTCATGCGGCCCGCTTATGAGCAAAATAAGTATCCATCTCGGGCGACACATCATGCACCCGGATGAGATAGCAAATATCACGCTCCAAAGAATCTGGAACGGGACTAAGCAGTGAACTCTAAACACAAGGGCTGCCACAATAGATCAAACCTGGTCAAGCTAGCGCAAATGAAGGCCCAAAAAACCAATAATAATAAATATCTTTGTTGTCATAATAAATTAGGGATTCATATTTTAGTCTTATACCTAATTACTAATTGATGAATATTTTTGCAAACTGTAGGCTCGCTAAACTTTGAGCTACTATAAAAACGCGTTACAAGAAAACTCAATAAGTCCGCACGTATATCGCCGGCCGGAACTTACGGAGATATTGCACGGGAACATTTGGGGACATGACGGCAGTCCTTTGGCATGATATTATTTTGTTTCGTGAATTTCAAATTGAAAAGGGAAAAACAGGTTTAATTATTGTTTACTATTCCGTACCTAATCGTTTGTATAATGTTGATGATTGATGTTTTCCGTAGGTATTTATTTATGGTAGGTACTTATCTAACTTAGAATGTTTACTTCTTTCTTGCATACCTGTGCACAATCATAAGAATATTTAATCGAAATATTACTTTTTATTCACTTAACCATATAAAGACGGCGATCAGCGATCGTTGGAAATTGAACTAGTGTAAGTGGGTCTGAATTCAGCCTTATTACCAAGAATCCTAGATGTTTACGTAAAGACTGATGACGAATATGAGATATTCAATCTTAACTAACCACTAACTTCAATAGATCACATACCTGTGGTGTAAAGTTGTGCTGCAACGGGCACGCGGGCGGCGCCGCGGTGCTCCCATAGTGTTGCTGGTACGATGACGTCAGGATCTTCTTGTGCGCGGACGCGTGCGCGCGGTACGCACTGACACTCAGTTTCATTTTTATATATATTTATTTTTTATTTTGCACCCATATTTTCACTACACTTAACACTCGTTTTGATGTACACTACACGTATGTAACACTAGTAACACAGCCTTTCGCTCCCCATTATCTGGAACAATATAAAAACTCAGATAAATAAACTGAAGTTATCAAGGTAACTAGATACTAACTACTTAAGTTGATTAATGCTTCAAATAAGTGTGGGTTGCACCATCTTACATTAACTTTAACAAACTTCAAAAATCTGTCAAATTTCAAACAAACATAAGGTGGTGCAACACAGCCAAGACTTTTAGTGTTTTTCTGTAACAAACTGAATTTCAAACGGGCAAAGCCGCGGGCAAAATGTAGCATATTCATAATTTTAAGATTAAATAGTTAGTTCCACTTAAAACAATGGAGAATTAACGGCACGATTAAATTGCCTTGAAAGCAAATAATTAGTATTTGTTTCGATTCGTCGTGGAACCAATTCAGAAAACGGGAAAACTTTTTGGGATGGGCAGTTTTTTAAACAATTTTACAAACTTATGCCCGTGTTCACCATCAATCCTTAATTACCCCTATAGTGACACATAACAGGCATTTTGTTTTTAAAGGGGTCACTTAAAAATTAGGGATTTCAAATACTGTTTTACTCATATTTACATTGTACAATTAATTATACGTTAGATGGCTTGTCTGTAGCACCAGTTTGTCACTTTCTAATTGCTTTACGCATGCTTCTGAGTATATATAACAGGATAGTACAGTCAACAGCACATCAAACTTTACATTTTAGTTGCAAAATAACTCTTCTTACATTGAAATAAGATGTCACAGTATTTACAACGAGCCTACCTCGTCCGGACATCGTCGTTCGATAGAGTATGACAGCACATCAACCTATACATTGTTATTGCAAAATGACACCTATTCCAACCACATAAGATGCCACAGACAAGCTTGATGTGCTCCGTACGTCGTTATGGTTATGTTCACAGAAACCTCGCTCCACTCGACGGAGAGGCGCCTCTCATTAGGGCGGCTCGTATATCGATGTCGAGAGATTTTATTTTAGACTGCTGATGCATTGATTTAGCTTTTTTCACAATTTTATGAGGTTTATTTTTCGTAGGGAATCCTAATTTCTTCATTTTGTAATAAATATCTATATATATAAAAGAAAGTCGTGTTAGTTACTCCACTTATAACTCAAGAACGGCTGAACCGATTTAGCTGAAAATTGTCAGGGAGGTAGTTTAGAGCCAGGAGAAGGACATAGGATACTTTTTATCCCGTTCGAACTAAAAAAAAAAGTCTGCTTATTTATTGCCATTAAGGCGGAACAAAGTTCGCCGGGTCAGCTAGTTTAATATGAAATAGCATTTCACCTTTTAACTTCCAAAAATCCTGACATACCTACCTAATCGATGCAGCCGTTCAGAATTTAGCTGAATAAACTCACTGCGTATCGTAGAGGTCACCTTATCACGTATCTGTCTCTCTTTAATTTATTCGAAAATTTTATGAATTGAATTTCAATGAGAGTTTTCGCGATTGAAAATCCGCCAGATGGCAATACGTAGACGGGAGGTCCAAATGCTGCACGATTGGTGGATTTTGACATTATCTGTCAATGTCATGTCAAAAATAAAACGAAAACCCTCATTGCAAATAAAAACTCGTTTAGTATTTTAAACATAAATTATATTATGTACCTAAGTACAACAACATTAGTGCTATTAAGAATGAATTATACCCACTTATATTGTTTGAATTACGGCTTAAGTAGAATCTTGTGGTTACGCGGTTTATGCGGTTACTAAATCAGAAGTAGACTAGTGGTTCCGCCTCTAAGTAAAGCTGAATTCCCACTACCTTTGACAAAAAGTCCATAAAATGTTTTGACTATGAACGATAAAAGTAAGTAACATTACTATTTTGACGACACTAGTCATTTTCATATTCATTTATTCACTTCCAGTCGTAACATAACCATAACATTGATCTTGAATCATTTATAGATAAGATACCAATTCCAAACTAAATCCTCGTATTCGCCGCGAAAAATAACGTGCGAACCGTTTATCGTAATTCTTACAGATCGTGTATAGAGCACGTTTACCTATCGATGTATCAGTGGAACAACACTAAGGAAAGTGAAGTAAAAATCACTCAATTTTTTAATATTCATTGTTTATTTTGACATCAGGGGATCCTATGGAGAATCTTCTTTATTTTTTTAATAAATTGCGACTCAAAGTAATTGATGCCCCTTTTTGATTGCCATTATTATAATTATATTATCTTCTGACACGGCATTATCAAGTTTTATTTTTGGGGAATATTTTTCCTTTTTCCGTGAGCTCGTTTGCATGGTTTCTTTCATGGAAATGGGAGGGTAGAGGAAATTCACATAGCGGAATGCATTGCTGGAAGGGGGTTGGGGTCTCCATGATTTTATTGCCACTATCCTGGCGCCATTTTGGCGCGAGCCAGTTTTGTTTTTAACCACCAAGCTACGCAAAAAGAGGATTGTTATAGGTATGTTTGTTGTAGGTAATCGTTATCATTTGATTTCAACAATTATTACAAAGCACAACTTTTCTAAAAAACATACTGGTCTGATCTTGGTCTGGTCTTAAAAACTCTATAATTTTCAATGAACTTTGAATGAGACTTTTAAAATGGTGACGTCATCATTTAGTATTGCCATTCACAATTATTAATATCTTAGTAGAGATAATATGTACGTACCTGCACAATTGCCATTTGTCATCATGGTTTAAATGGATATTAATCTTGATACCAGAAGTCAACTGCTATAATATCAAGGAGTGAACTTTCGGAAACTAACTATGAAGTTTTGGAGCTAATTTAAACCAGGAGCTTTGCTAAGAACCCTATGTAGCTAGACAAAACTACAACTGAATCAAAAAACAATAAATATTTAATAACAAAAACTTACGTCTTAATTAAAATCTAAAGAGGCTACTCTGGCCAGTTTCCAACAGGCTAAGAAAGTAAAACCTAAGATCTGAAACCTGTTCACACTAAAGTGAAACCTTTGTCTATGATCCTAAGACCTAGTATACACCTGTCAGATGTCATCAAGACTTACTTAATTAAGAGTTAAGACTCAAGCAACATAACTTAGTTTCGCCGAGCGTGAACTGTAAGCAAAGTTGTTTAATTTGTGAAGAATTTAAGCCGGCTTGCTTAATCAGGCAAAGGCTTAATGTTTAAGCAGATAATTAATTTGTGTAATAAAATTTAAGCGCCCGCCTAATTCGCAGTTTATTATCACGTGGAATGAGCTTGTGTGTTGTTAATGGTTAACGTTTTTTAAGCCGGGTTTAAGTGAGGTGGATGAGGTATTAAGCCAGAGTTCTTTGTTGTAGTTAAATGCACATCAATTCGCTGCTTCTACTGGCTACTACCTACTTAAATATTTTTCATAATAAGATTCACCTATTGCTGTGTAGGTATAAACCATTCGTGGGTCGAATCACGATTGTATTCCAATGCCGACATCATTGGCTTTTATCTTAGTTCTTTAAAGGCTATCACGGATTAGCAAGATTAAAACGGTCCGTAACTTTAAGGGCACCTTCTAATTTTCAAAATAAAGGCGTGAGGAAGCGCTAGAAAACGTGAACTGTGAGCACTAACTAGTTTTCATACAAGAAAAGCGCAGTTGCAGCGACACTACCATTTTGTGTTTGTCACGGGTTTTATTTTCACGTTCAACTGCAGCGCTTTTCACGCTTCTAATTTGAAGGCTCCGCCTTCAGGAGCTTCGGCTTCTAAAGAATTCTGAAATAAGGTGGCCTAAAGGTTTTTTTGTTGTCTTTAAACATCTATATTCTTCAGTAGTATTGTGTTCATTTATACAGCTGTAGACACCAAAATCAGTAGTCCGATCAAGTCACACTCGAACCAGTAACCAGCAACCGTTTGAAGACATTTTCAGCACGAACGTACATTTGTGACGTAATGAGAGAGGCTGTAATGACGACACTACGACGACACGAGGCCTTGAGGCTTTTACAGATTACAATTACCTCCGATATCTCCGTATTTCAGTGAGAGCTGTTCTTTCTTAACTGAAAGGTTCTGGATTTTTTTATAAAGATTATTAGCAATTTGTATTGCACAAATTACTGATAGTCCCGTTAGCCTCTCGTGGTAAGCTAAATAAGCTTGTGTTACGAGAGGCTCACCACAATAGTCGAGCGGTGGTGGGATTCTAACCCGCGTTCCTCGGATCTCGAGTCGGCCAGTCCGACCCCTTCACCGTTTGGCTATCCTAGCTATGTTTCCCAGTTTAAATTCTCAGATAAAGCACACACACATCTTACTAATATTATAAATGCGAAAGTTTGTATGGATGTCTGGACTGTTTGTTACTCTTTCACGCAAAAACTACTAAACGGATTTTGATGAAACTTAACAGTATTATTGTTTATAACCCACAATATAAAGGCTATAATTTATGACGATCTGTAACAAACTCACGCTGGTGATGTCTGGAGTGCTAAACTGCGAGCAAAGTAACAAAGTGGTTTATGTCAAACTTTGTTACTTTGCTCGCAGTTTAGCACTCCAGACTGGACTCAACTCAATTACTATCATGACGGTAATGACTTACCATCAGGTGATCCGTCTGCTCTTTTGCCTCCTGTCACATAAAAAAAAATGTCCGAAAACTATATAATTGTGCTTTGAAAGGCAGTTTGAGATGTGATTGTTAAATCATTAAATCTGACATCATGATAGTGACCTCAGTTGTTACAGCTCACACGATAGAAGAAGACAGTTCAAAACATGCAGGTCTGTGTCAAAATGACAAACAGTTTGAGCAGCCTTATGCCCGTATTCACAAACGATACTTGCTTAAGTGAAGCAGCAACTCGAACGCACAGCGTTGAATAGAGCTCTGTGATTGGTTCGTGTGTCACCCTGTGCGTCCACAAGCACTGTTCGACCTCATAGTATCGTTTGTGAATGCG